AAAGCTGGTGCTTGGATTTCCAGGATGGTGACCCAACCAAGAGCCCTGAGAATGACCCGTTTGGTGCCAGTTTAGGGCCAGAGAAAGAGAGGCAAGAGTCCGGACGAAACCACAGGCAGAATCAGAAGGGAGGGCTGCTGATGTGCCAGCCTATGCTCAACTTCTGCTGGCAACCTTGGAGGACCTGTTTGCATTCAGGCTAGCCCGGGCAGGTACGGACCACAACAGCACATGCCCTGGGGGTTAGCCTGGAGAAGTTGGAGGTGGTGCCCTCCAGAGTGAGAGATCAGGAGTGTGCAGGGAGTTCTCCCAGCTTTGTAACTCCCCAGGAAGGCAGAAGATGACTGGGTATCGGTGGGGACACAAAGGGAAAGTGTAAATGAGATGGGATTGAGGAGAAGATGGGGGGTAGATAGGAGAGTGTGCCTATGTCAGGGTGTGAACTCTGGGCCAGCCAGCCAGCCGTGTTTGCACATGACAGGTGACACAGAACACCTGACAGGCTGGGACAGGAAGGGATGGAGAACTGTGGTTGGCCTCTGGGGATGAGGTAGGGGGGACTCAGACTCGGTCCATGATAGGCAGAAGGAGAGGTAGTGGGGACCCTGGGTGCACTGTCCCAGGAAAAGCAGGGCAGGCCCAGGGCAGGCCCTTCTTCTAAGCCGGCTGCTCCTGATCTGGGCCCTGGGGGCAAACTCATAGGTCTCCAGCTACTGCTGGTAAACGCCAGGTCTGTCCACAATGAGATTGCATTCATACGCAGTTTAGGGATGGTGGAAATGGCTGGCCCGAGATGGGGATGTCACCTTGTGTGAAATTAGCCTGAAATCGGATTTCAGGTCCTGCAGCAATCATGACACCAAGGTCAGGAGGGAGGCAGCATGGCTGTGATGGCGCGTGCGGTTGTGCCTGGCACAAAGCGCTGCCCTGGAGGTGCCCAGATGCGAGTGCCTTTGTGTGGAAGGGGGCTGCACTGACATCAGGGCCACTGGTGGTGTAGCAACCCAGCAACTGCCCTGTGGTGGTCCTCCACAGACTCCTGCATCTTCTCTCAGGTTAGGTGTAATAGTTCAAGGCTCTTAGTCTCCGGGCCCTGAGGGGGGCATCTGGTACAGCGCGCGAGCGCACGGCCTGCAAAACGACCATGGATTGTGGTGTCAGGTAGCTCCAGCACGTGCCAAGTCTTTATTTTGGAACAGGTGAGACGTGGCCTGAGAAGGAGGGTATTAAGACCAGTGCTTCGTCACGGTCAGATCACCTCCTTGTCCGGCTGCCGATCCTCTTCTGCACTCACTCCACCCACAGATTCTCACTTCGCTGGCCGTGTTCAGGATCACTTGGATCCCTTTTAGGGAAGGACGGAGGAAACAGGACTCTTACAGGGATCCCAGCTGATCCTGCAGGTTTTTCTGGTGGAGAAGGTGGCTTGTATGGACTCTGGGTTAGATGTCAGTTGGACAGCATCCACTTCAGAGAGCAAGGCAGCCCCTTCCACGATAATCTGGGATTCTTTTGAAGTTAAAATAGGCGTTCTTCTATGCTGGTGGAGAGGTCAGTAGGGTCCTCAGTAGTCTGAACCTCACCATCAGCAGGCCAGTTCCATGCTTGCTTGACTCCTTCGGGCAGCCAGCCAGGGCAGGAGCAACTGGTATGGGGAGGCATTGCTTCCTTGGGGAAAGGCGTAATAACACCAGCTTCGAAGAAGGGGTTGGCACCCCCTCTTTTGAAGACATCTACCCCTTGATAACTGTCGTCCAGTTTCCATCCTTCCTCTTTTAGGGAAGGTTGTGGGGAACCAACTACAGAGGATCAAAAAGGATGTGGGTTATTTGGATCATTTTCACCCAGGATTCAACCCTGGTCCTGGGGCAAAAAGAGCATTGGCCGCTGTGGTGGAGGACCTTTGTTGGGACCTGGATGTGGGGAGTGCACCCCTTCTGGTCTTGTTAGAATTCAGGGGTATTTGATACCATCGAACATGATACCCTTCTGGGACATCTACAAGGACTGAGAGTTGGAGGCACCATTTTACAGGTTCTACACTGAACGGATGTGTCCGGTAAGTGGCGCTGGGGGAGAAGTACTCGAGCCTGGCAATGTGGGGACCTTGGAGACCCTCCCCTATGCTCTTTAGTATCTACTTAAACCCTTTAAGAGAGGATATCACAGGTTTGGGGCAAGGTATCCTCAATATGTTGATGATGCTCAGTTCTACATCACCAGCCCAGATCAAGCTAGAGATGCCACCAAAGTCCTGATCTGGTGCCCAGAAGCAGTGAGAATCTGGATGAGGCAAAACAAGCTTAGAATAAATCCCACCAAGACAGAGATGCTGTTTGCCCATAGACATCAGGGCATCATATTAACACCACCTCAGTAGTCACTCAGGATGGGGTTCTGCTCCTCCAGTGAGGTCCTCCTAGACTCAAGGCTCCTGCTGAACCAGCAGGCGGAAGCCGTGACCAGGCTGGTGCACTAGTTACAACCCATCCTGGGCCAGGATGCCCTGGAGACGGCAACCCATACTTGGATGACCACTCGGCTGGACTGCTACAGCACGGCCTATACGGGGCTGCCTTTGGAGACGACCCCAAGGCTGCCGCTGTACCAAATGCAGGAGGAAGAACCCTGCCTGTCTGGAGCAAGGCTGATTTTAAAGCTACTTTGCCCAACGCAAAGGCTGGTTGTTACCTTGAAACCCCTATGGCGCAGCTTAACGTTGCAGTGGGCAGAGTCCCCCCTCCTTGTGAGGTGCAGAGGGGCCTTCTCAGAAGCAACCCCCCCCCCTTGGGGGAATCCTCTCTCCTCTCCCTTCCTGGCATTTCCAAAGCAAGCGAAAAGCACCCTTTTCTAACAGGCTCTTGGGCCAGGCTGACTGGGGGCACCTTAACAGTTTCA